TTTTTTTTTTTTTTTTTTTTTTTTTTTGTCTTTTGTCTTTTTCCGTGTCCGGCAACGGATCGCAACCCTCAGTGTTGCCCCCGTACCAGACTGGGGACCGGCAACGGGATTGCAACCCTCGGTGTTGCTCCCGCGCCTCGCTCAGCCAGTGAGCGGGAACCAGTCTGTATGTGGGATCCGAACCCTCGGGCGGGAGCGCCGCCGCGCTTCCCAAGTGGCGCACTTATCCAGTGCGCCACCGGGCCGGCCCCTGAAGTCATTCTCTGAAACCCCAAATGCTCCTGCTGTAAAGCCACTGGCACACAGACTCAGCAAGCTTGCCTGAATGAAGAACTCATGCACTTAGAAAGAAATGTCTGGGGCTGGCCGGTTAGCTGGCTGGGGCAGGGAGTTAGAGTGTCGTGCTGATAACACCAAGGTCCAGGGTTCGATCCCTGTATCGGTCAGCCACAAAAAAGGAAAAGCAGAGCCAGCAAGTTAGCTCAGTTGGTTAAAGCGCCACCTTGCAACATCAAGGTCAAGGGTTCAGTTCCCCATGCTGGCCATCCACCAAAAAAAGAAACCTCCTGAGGAAGACACTCACCGCATTCTTCATTATGTACTCAGAGGTGGCGCCCGCGATCTCCTCCACAGTGTAGGAGGGCACGTCTGCGCTGCACGGGTGGCTCTCACTGGACATGAGCAGCTGGTAATACTCTTCATTAGCTGCAGGAGAAATGATGCTTACGGTCAGCAACAAAACTGTCACCAAGTCTAACAAGTAAGCAGCCCTACTTTTCTCAAATGAAAAAGTAGAATATAGATAGATATTATCTTCCTGGCACCCAGAGAGAACACACAGAAATATGAAGGAAAAACAATCTAACAAACAGAAATGTGGACTTTTTTCCCCCTGAAACATTAGAAGGCCCTTGATTACATAATTGTTTAAAATGATAACATTATTTTAAATAACATGGCCACTGGGTTCTACCCAACCCCCACTCTCTCCAGAAGGGTCTTTTATCATGACACAACATCCACGTACCCACATCATCCTGGGCTCATCTAGTTGGGCTTTGGGGTGACCCAGCCTGCCTCTGGGTGTTGCCACTTGCAGGCCACTGCGGCCCCTACTGCAGAGGGAGAAAACAAGCCAGCTCAAGGCTGCCACCTGCCCTCAGGGCCCAGGAGACCTCGGATGGGTGGAACCAGGACTGCAAGCTGGAGTTTGACCCAATATTCCCCCAGGCATGCGATTCCTGCTCGTGGTGGAGAGACCTTCGCACCTATGACTGAGTCTTACCTGCTTTAGATTTCTCGAGACCTTCGCACCCATGGCTGAGTCTTATCTGCTTTAGATTTCTCCACCTTTGGAAACTTCAAACTGATAAGATTTCTGAGTCTGAGCTCAAATCAACATACAGACTGCTGCAAAGCATAGGAAACGTCTTGATTTGGCAGAACTTTCAAGTTTTGAAGTTACTGCAGACGCCAAGAACAAAATGTTCTAAACTGACATAGTCACCTGAGAGCAGAACAGCCCAACTAGTCAGAATAAATGCCCCCACTCCAGCTCAGAAAGGGAGCCTTGCACAGGCATGTAGTCCTAGAGCCGTGGCCCTCCACAGTGAGCTGTCCATCCAGGGCACCAGATCCCATGTGGCACCTGCAGGCCTGGCCAGCACCAGCCAGCGGCAGCAGTGCTGTTTTGACTGTATTAACCCTCACAAAATGCACAACGGACTTGGGGAGGAGCCTGCAGAGACATTTTGGGCTGAAGAGGACACTCAAAAGCACAAGCACAGGCTAGCACGTGGCAGACTGACTATGCCATACCTGGCTCAAGCGACCCCAGAGACGAGCACTGATGACCTGCTCACTGCCCATGAAAAGTTTCCCAAACGTTTAAAAAATATGAAGACTATTTGAACTACAGGTTTATACCCATGATTATGTGACAAACCTTGCTCTAATTCCATGTGTACCTTGAGATAGCAACCGACGATGACAGGATAAAGCCACTGCTTCACTTCACCCTAGCCGTCCAGATGTTTCCATTTTTACACGTTCTCAGTGGGCAGGACCCACCAGTACATTGGCACACGTGTGACACGTGAACAGGGACACACACTGCCGCGGGGCGGTGCTCACACAGAGCAGCCTGTTCTACGGGACACCCTTCCCCAGCTGTGTGAGATGCTGATGGTCTCTGCCAGATTGTCACAACGGACCAACACAGCTAAGGGACTCCTCACAGTCCAGGACACGCCTAGGCACGCAGTGCTATAAGGTCAGGAATGCAGACACGGATTCCTCCTCCAAGATCTCTGCTGTTTTCTCGGAAACACTGAAGGAAACTGAAAGCCCTTGAAGCTCACATCCCTAATCCCAACCACAGACTAAAGGCAAGGCTTCTCGGACCTTTCTGACCAACACCTACAACTAAACCATCCTAAGATGACCACAGCACAAGATCTCGGCCTGGAGTCCACAGACAGGCTTTTGGCAGCCGGGACCGGGGTCCACAGGACAGCACCGGGCCTTTTACACGGCAGTGCCTCTCCGGCTGCTCTGGAGACAGCGGCATCTGCAGTTACCTGAGACAGGAGACGGGGGACCTGCCCGGTGGAAGGCCCAATTGCAGGTACAACTGAAGGAGGACTAAACTCTTATGGGGAGATATTTAAGAGGTTTGTAGTTTACTGAACAATAAAGCACCGTTCCCTGACGATGTATTTTCTGAACCTGCAGTGTTTGAGCACAGATTACTGCACTGCATCTTTGAAGAGCTCTGCACATGTATTTTCCCATAAAATCCTTAGTCTTATTTATCACTGACCAGTTCTAAAAGCTCTTTTGTATTCTGCCATCTATCAATAAAACCCAAACATCCACACAAATGAAATCAGGATCTGAATTTTGGAGACCCTGCTGCTGTGCATGTGGGATGGAAGGTGGTGCCTGACTGCCTCCGTCCTTCCTGGCTGAAATGATCACTGTGATGGAAATTTACCAATCTTTAGATAAACAAGAAACGGCCTGTCGGAGGTCCTGAATCAACAAGCTCTAAAGGAACCATCCTTTAAGGACAAGATCTGGCAACACCCTCCCTCCCTCTTGTATCTCTCCACATTATACTTCAGCGGTAGGGATGCTCTGCTTCATTTCCAAACTGAGCTGCTTGCGGTGTCAGGCCCCTGCAGCAGGTCATGAGAGTGTGTGATGATCCTCCTGAGCTCAGGGTCATCGTCCCAAACACCAATGCTCCTTGCCAGAGCCTGGAAGATGATGGACCCTCCTGAACATGACCTGACCTCAACCCAGAGCACAACAGTTTTATTCTAAATAGATTGCTTTTCTTTGATTTTATTCTCTTTCTTTTAAAAAAAAATTTTTTTTAATTTTTTAAAATTTTTTAATTAATTTTTTATCTTTTTTTTTTTTTTTTTTTTTTTTTTTTTTTTTTTTTTTTTTT